TTAGATATTTTTAAAGAGAACCTTGCCTAGTTTCATGTCACAATACTGTAAATATGGATTAGCTAGAGTTTCTGTGTTTCACTCTTCATATATATGCCCCCAAATCCATCCAGATTCAGAAACAACTACCCCACTATGTACCTTAAGATGATTCTTACCCATGAAGGCCATGGTTCACATGGATAGTGGCAACAATGGCTGTGCCATTTCAGAAAGAAGTTAAATCAAACATCAAAGAGGACAGGTACATGAATTGAGGGTATTTACAAGACAGAATTCTACTCAGCAGTGATATAAAACAAACATGGAACACTACATAAGCAAGAGTGTAGAAGATTTTTAGCAACATGGTTTATACTTATACACTAAGGCCATTTACAAAACATTATATTCTGTGAAGCTTTAAAAACATGCACACCTATGATAATATGTAACCTCTGTTACACATATGAAAGAGAATCCCAAAATGTGGGAAAGTGGCAGAGCTGTGGGGGAAACAGATTTGGTGACATGCTGCGCACTTCACAACATCAGGCCTGGCCATGATGGTAAACACTTTTTTCTAAGGCGTAAAGAACATGTGCTTCACAAAGGTATGTGGCAAGTCAAAGAGAGGAAGTCGTGAAAAGTGAGGGAGACTTGGCAAATGAACATATGTCGTCATCTGAGACTCACCTCCAGCTTTTGAGCTAAGTAGCAATTGACAAATGTTCATTGCACTGCACACATTCTTTTATTTATCAACCAACAGACTCCTAGAAACGATTCTAGGATGTATCCCAGGTCCGTGGGAAAGAGAGGTAGGAGAAGATAAAGTCAATTGTCAACACATAAAGAATTTTTCTCTCTACAGTCTTACCCCCCAAATGGCTATTCCTTCATTTCCTTTGCTTCTAATAAAAGAAAAATAAATCTGTTTTAATTAAAATATTTCACTACATGGTTTTATTTAAACAATTTCTATAAATAACATACTTGTCATGACCTCTTATCAAATGTTAACTGAATATGGACATAATTAACCCCAACTCAATTTAAAAAGACCCTCTGAATTGTGCCCATTCTCAAAAACTGTCCCCGCATTCCTCCCTGATTACTTAGGTAAGTTAAATATATGCTGGGCTCCTAGACAATTTCCCAAAGTATATGTTCAGTAGTCCTTTCTATTTCTTTACTGCATATGGCACGTGAATGTGATTTTGTACATTAAAAAATATGAATTGAAATTGGTTAAAACTTTTGGAAATTTAAGAATCAATTTATCTGTAGTGATTTTTTTTTTCCAAAATGGAGACACTTATTTTGGTATAAATATTATTACAGCTTATCTAAGATAGTTTCAGATTTATTTTATTTTTATATGTATGAATGTCTTGCTTGCATGTATGTAGGTATAATTACTACATGTGTGCAGTCTTTGCAAGGCCAGAAGAGGGTGTCTGATCCCCTGGAACTGGAGTTACAGACAGTTGTTGCTGCCATGTGGGTGCTGGGAACTGAACAGGGTCCTGTGAAAGAACAGCCAGTGCTCTTGACTGCTGAGCCCCCAATTTCATATTAATGAAAAAAAAAAACCCACGAGTACATTAAAATTCCTTGTCCTCCACCTCAATCTTAAAATGAAATAGCATGTAAAAAATTCATTATTTTTTGTATTATTTAAAAGTACTCTTGAAAATGCATGGAATCCATGCTACACTATGAAGCCCGAAATCAATGTTCTCCACCAATGACTAGGATATGATGTCATTTTAAAAATCTATAATAAGAAATGACCTATCATCCATCTATCTATATATCTCTATATTATGTATAATATTGGATGATGTGATTATGCATTTTGGTTATCTTTGATGAAACCCCAGTGCTTTTGTGGGAAATGCAGCATTTTATTTATTTTATATCTACAAGAATACTCTGAGTGAAATGCTAATTTACAAAAAGGATTTATTGCGAAGTCACTATACTAAACATTATGTTAAAAGTACATATTCCAATTAAAACTTGTTTCTCAGTCGAAATTTGAAATATGCCATCTATATTGTGTGCTATCCCAAAATACAAAGTGCAGTTCCTTTCCTTTATATATAATAGATATTCTATTATAAATCAGTTTAACATAAAATACCTTGTTTTGAGAGCAAAAAAATGCCTATAATTCTCTGTTGGACATGCACTTAATTTTCATGCAAATGTGTGCATAGAATATGCATGTGATACCATAGATATATGAAAATGCTAAAATAAAATTGTAGGAGGAATATATTTCACCAAAGGAAGGAAAATCCATAAAGTTAAAATAATATCAACAAAAGTTAGCCTTTTGTCATTCTTGATTAATTTGACTCATACACCTAGTTTAAAAGACAATTTTCTCAATTTTTTTCTATCAAAAGAGAAAAGGGAGGGCAAACACAGTATATAGGAGAATTCTGAAGTGGGACATCCTGACAGATCGTAATGTGGTGTCCTGTCCGATGATGCGGTGTTTTGACTGCATGGCTGCAGAGGGCTGTAATTTAAATGCCATTAAAGATACATAAGCTCTAGCAGGGAGACAGGAATGCTGTGAAGTCTTTTGGTCTGTAGTCACAATGCAGATAAAATTGTTCCTTTGATCTTGTAATGCTGAAATCTGTTGTCCAGATAGAAAATGTCTTTGTGCTTCTGTCTTAAACGAAGACAGATTTCATTTTCCATCAAGTCATTTTGTTAACACCACATAAAAAGTAATGCACGTTGCATGGGGCAGAGCTTCCCTCTCTTCCATCGTTATTTTAGGTTACATTTCGATTGTGTAGTGCTCAAAACAATGTGCCCAAAATACCAGCATCTGGGTTTAAAGTGACTAGACTCTAACTTCATGTCTTGATAAAGACCGCTTACATATTTGTATGCTAGGAAGTAAGAGCTTTGTGGGATTCTGCTCGTCTTTGTACTCTTTCCTTTTGAAACAATAGGGAGATATTTAGCTCATAAGACTAAATAGAGCACAAACACAGCTCTGGCTTCAGAGGAAACCCAAGAGCTAAGAGTCTGTAATAAATATGCCGATGCTCTCAGAGCAAGTCTCCAAGTCACAGAGAAAATTATGAAATGTTGACAAAATTTTGGTCTTAAATTATAATTATAATTTTAAGAATATCTGCCAACTTTTCAAGGAAATTAATGATGTGGAGGATTATCCTTACAGACTCACAATGGAAAACCAGACAAAGGAAGACAGTTATTTTGGTTTAGATATATATTTGATTGTTTGTTACATGTGATGTTATAAAATTTGTGTCAAAACCATATATTTTGTGTATTTGCTAATATGTTGGTGACAGTTTTCAGATCTTGGTATAGTCTAGGTCTCATACATTTGTATGGTAATAATATTTTTAATGAGTAGTATTTTCTTTAAAAGATAGTCGGTCATATTTTTGCCAAGTTTTAAGCTAATATGCTGAAATTTTAATTTGTTATGTCTATCAATTCTCATATTCAAGAATCATTTTTAATATCTTTTCTAGGTGAGAACTTTGCAATAATTGAAGACAAGACTATTTCATGACCAACAATAACATTTCCAGTCTGAGAATATAACTTAGTGATAGAACATTTACCTAGCATGTATAAAGTAGGGCCCTGGGTTCCTACCCAAGTCCCATAAAAAAGACGACTGGGGGCTGGAGAGATAGCTCAGCATGTAAGAGCACTGGCTGCTCTTGCAGCGGACCCTGGTTTGATTCCCAACACCCACATGGTAGCTAACAACCATCTGTAACTCCAGTTCCAGGGGATCCAAGACCCTCTTCTGTCCTCTGTGGGCATTGTGTGACACAGGTGCACTTACATACATGCAGGCATAACACTCATACACATAAAATAAAAATAAATAAATAAATAAATAAGAGCTCTGTTGTCAAAATGTATTGAGTGGGAAAATCTTAATAAACTTCACCATCTGGCTTGTGAGTAGTTCGTTATCCATAGAAACAGTGGCTCCTCTGCTGTCTGCCAGAGTCAGGGCTCCTGGAGACCCAGGTTGAGGGATCTTTGTTACATAGTTGCAACTACTACTGGGGCAGAGGAGAGGAAACTGCCTGAGAGCAAGTCTTTGTGTGTGCCAGTCTTCAGGAGCCTCACCCTAGGAGTCCCCACCACAGAGTCAGGAGCTCGGCTGCTCCTCTGTAAGTGGATCACTTGGCAATGTAAAATAGTATTTTGCCCAAACCTCTGCAAAGCATCAATGACGTGTAAACAGACCACTATAAAAACAATTCTGATTTATTGATTTTGAAAATAGTTCATCTGTCTACAAAAGAATAGCTCAAGATTGATCCAGAATTTGCTCTTATTCAGTGTGTGATGATGGGAGGGAACTGTCATTGAGATAAGGAACCATGGCAGCAGGGAGCCAACAAACAGTTGTACAAGATGTTACATATTTTGTATTTGATTTTCAAATGGATTTTTAAAACTCCATGTGTCAACATCTTTCTGGATTGTATAATTGCTAATTCTATAATTACTTGAGGATGAGCCTCAAGTAATTTTCTAGAAGAGTGAAGGTAAACAGCTACCATATAAATACATATTTCTTTCAAAGTGATTCAAACCTTTCTATGCACTGAGGTATTAAAGTACTATGATAATGCCCAATAAGTTCTGGTTATCAGAGGAACAATCAGCTAAAGCCAACACAATGTTTAAGCATACATAGAATCAGTATCATAAAAATATAAACATGGTGCCAAGAAATTCTAATCAGAAAAGGATATTAGACATTACAGTCACTGTATAAATGATACAAGCCTGTCTGAAATAACTGTTATATCACGAGACAGTATTTAATCACTATGAGTGCAAAATTTAAAAAAATTAATCAGGCAAAGAGAAAAATTAAGTATCCAATTATAGCAAATAATATGTTAGGGAGAATATTTTCATGTTTTGGAGTAATTGTAGGCAAGATGGATAAACAGAAATAAAAACAAAATTAGTAAACTAAATAAAAATCATATGTAATTATATTTTTAACAGGCAGGGCTGTGAATCAGAGCAAGCTCCAATCTGTAGCAAATCAGTTCAGTTTCTAGACGATTGCTGGCAATCATTTTGATTAACAAAATAATTGTAGGGCATTAGTAAAATCCATTTTACTCTTAATTTTATGAACAAAACCCACTAAATTCTCTTTAAAAGAGGCTGATAATTATGGCTGTTTAGAAGGTAAGTTAAGAGCAAGCCTATCTAGTACACATCCCTTCTGATCATTTTTAAAGAGTTAAAAGCAATCTAAATAAACTAATGTATATATCATCTTTAAAACACAAAATTATTTTACACATTTTGAGAAGCCAAAATACAGTTGGGTTTTCCTGACACCTAGTAATCCTGAGCTTCACTTGGAGGCCTCTCGAGTTTTAGCAAATTCCCCAGTTTTTGGAAATTAATTTATTATCTGAAGTGCTATTTGAACAAATAGAATGCTATGATTCTTACAGCACGTACTTTCTCATTTAATTCTCCCCAGCACTCTAAAGAGGAGAGTGTATTCGGGCAAGCATTCCTTTACCTTGACTATATGAGACAGTGGGGGCAAAGGTGTGTCCATATCAAACATACGGAGCACTGAGGACGAGCACAAGGAGCTTCATTCTCGCATGTACATCAAATTCAAAATGGTAAATTCAAGGCGTGTCACAATGTGTGTGTGTGTGTGTGTGTGTGTGTGTGTGTGTGCATGTGTGTAATTGTGTTGCTAAGAGAAAGACAACCTACACCAACTGTAAGTGGTTCAGACTGTAGGGCTACACATGTATGATTCCCAATATGCTTACACATGTAAGGTGCTCTCCAATGTACACAGCTTTGAGTTCCCAGAAAACATCAAACAATGACTGCTCTTCGGAATGTGCTCCTAACTTCCTGCCACAGGACAGGCAGGAGTCACAGCTGCAGCAGTAGCTGGGGGCTTCCAGATGTCACGGCTGTTAAGGATGGTGAGGTAATTGCAGGAAGAAAGGGATACAATTTTGTTATCACAGATTATCCTCCCCATTGAAAACCCTGGATCCGGCATTAATGCCAGCACTCTGGATATGCACAAGATGAACTGGAGGTTTTTATGTTAAAGAGTGGAGATCTGTGCCTTTGCCTCTGTGGAAAAGGCAGGCCAGGATTGTTAAAGTATGTGGAAAACAAAGAGGGCAGGGGCTCTCAAAGCTGCATCATTAGATTTATAAACCATCCTTAGGTGTTAGCAAACAATGATTTTATAAAGCCAGGAAATAAATAATGAAGTTTAATTATAAGGGTTCTAGTATGTAGCTTATCCATTGCCTTAAGAGAACAGAAAACATTTGAACATGAATAAATAAATTGGCACTTCTGCTCCAGGCTCTTTGGATGATGATAGCTGAATAGAGAGAAAGGATGATGACTTTCTAGTATTCAACTGATAGCAATTCCTTTGCATCTTGCCTGCTATGTCATCAAGTTAACTACAAGTTATTCAAAACTTTGGTACCTTGGTGTGGTTGTGAGTTACAATTCAACTTTGGATTCCTTCTCCCAAGCATGAAGAGAAAGACCTGTCCACTGCTTCTTTCCAGCTGTCGTCTCCTCTTAGAGCCACAAGGTTTTCTTGGTTTCTGTGGAAAACTGCATATTATAGCAACTCACCTGAAGCAATTGTCAGTGAAACTGCCACAAGTCACAGACACCATTTTTATACCATATTTCTCTCATTGGGTGTAATGTGGGAGTTAGGCTTAGAAACTGACTTCTCTTTTGAGACTCCTGGTCCATTATATCTGACTCATGTACTCCTCAATATGATTGGTTCTCCTCGAATACTTTCAAGTAAGGTACAAAATATGAGCACATGTCCAACAGCCCTGAAATCCACATGTGAGCTCTTTAAGTTACCATTTCATTCACATTGTTCACTACCCTAAGAGCATGTTCTGGGGACACCTGCCTATCCGTGAAAATGTGCGTTCAAGTTCTGAGTTAAGCATAAAACTTCCTATGCCCCACAGATATCTTCAATTTAATGGGATCTTGACCAGTTTTAAATAGCAGTATTGAATTAGTAAAGTCTTGCAGTACCTGTAAGTTATATAACATCTCTTAGGCCAAGAGACATTGAGCAGCATGAAGGTTGGACACTGAGAGAAGCATTCATTCTTTTAGAGAAGGTGGAATCAGTGTAACGAAGAAGATGTATGAAATACTGATGAGAAAGTATTTTTTGGTTTAGTGGTACTGCGTAGTATGTATTTCAAAATTAAACTGATTGAAATCTACATTTGGGAAGAGTTCACCTGTTTCACTTTCTCTTAATGCTTCCTCTCTTTCAATGGCATATGAAGAATCTCATTGAAGTAAGCCCACTTAGCAGGCATTCATGCAGGTGATAACACTGACTCGGTGTATTATATACAAATGAGTACACGCACTTCACAGGTTTATTTGGTCTGGATAGTCTTTGCCATTTTTAATAAAGAGCAAATTCTTAACTCAAACTTAGAAGTGGTTCCTGAATTTCAGCACACCTGTACAACAGTGACCCTCTGAGGTCCACACTACTAGAGAGCTTGTGATAAATGCTGATTCTCAGACCTTACTTGAAGCATAAACGTCAGGGCCAAACTGAGTAGTGAATGTTTTGACAAACTCTCCAAGAAGTTCTGATACAGAAGAAGTTTGGGAAACTCTAGTCTAGAAGTCTATGGTGGTTAAAAGTGGCTTTAGGAAATAAGTTGATGGAAATAGTTTCCCAGTACATCATTATGAAATTGTAATTTCCTCTTAATGCAAGCATACCTCCTCTAAAGAGTATTTTACCGCCTCCTACACGCCAGCAGTAAGTTCTTATGTCTATCTTTCTTTTTATCGCATGCTATGTGATTTACTATCAGGCAAAGACGTCATGGTAATTTTTCAATGCAATATATAGAGACACAGCATAATTGCTTCATACTCTTCATAAAGAAAAAAGTAAACTATAAGCATAAGGCCATTTTATGACATAGTTACTACAAACTGGAGCTCTAAAGTTTCCTGACTTTGTGTCTAAATCTTGACACTGTAGACAAATGGAGATTTGTGATCAGTGGTGTCACAGTGAGTGCTTGAGTGGAACAGAACCCGATTGCCTTAGAGTGCAACTCGGCTCCACAAAGAAAAGCCTGATATTTCAACCTTTGTGGATCCAGGCAACCGAAGAGCAAACTCCAAGCACATAAGAGCATAGAAGCACAATATGTTTAAATTTCACTGCCTCTCCGTCACCTGATAGAGGTCATAAGCCAGAAAAATCTCAGAAACTTTAGAGAAATCCATAAAAACTAAAAAGAACAAGGAAACATTCAAGAAATCCAACTCTGTTATCAAAGGTGTTCAGAAGGGAGGCCACATGAACACACGTGAGCATACCATACATGTGCACACATGTACATACATGTACACTCACTGGACATTATATTTTATTCTTACAATTAATATTCATCAATTAATAGTTCTGACTTGTTCACTGTAGCATTTTGTTAATATGAATGAAGTCAGATTAAAATATAGTGTTTTAACTTTAACAATTTTGAAAAAAAGATTACATCGAGGCCATGTAATAAATTTGTCCTGTGGCCTCAAGCCTAAGACTCTGCTTCCTGGAGAGTTCTCTTTGAATGACTTACCCTCTAGGTTTCTTTGTGGCCATTATAATGTTATATTTTTTCCTATCAACATTACCACTGGCACAAACACATACAGAACGCACAAAAGAAAGGCATGCCCATGTGCCACCTCATCACTAGGGATAAAAAGTGGCTGAGATTAGCAATCCATTTTTCTAATATTCTTGCATGATTTCCTCAGCTATTTCTTCAGCTTTTAATATTTTAGGTGTTATCCCAAGGAAGCTTTACTTTAATATGAAGAGAAATTGAAAATGTATGGAAAATCACAATGAGGATACCACCTCTAAGCTCAGATTCACAGAGCATCATTCAAATAGATTTATTTTGGTCTCTGTTGTAGAAAGTGTCCTTTGAAAACACATTACTATATTTAACAATAATACACAAGAAATCTTTCCATGTGTAAGAAAAGGCAAACATTTTATACCAATATAGCTGTGTACTTTGACTATTCCCAAGCAAAGCACTAAGTATTAGCCCACATTACATGGCCTTTAAAATCCATGTGTTATCATGCAAATAATTCAGCGATGAAAGACTCATTGAAATTCCAGTTTTATATATACAGATAAAACCTTGTTCTGCAGAAACATTCATGTTATAGAGCTATTCACTCAGTACAGAAAATATTGTAGATACAATTTCTATTAAGGTGTGTGCAAGGATTAAATATGATTGAAGGGAAAAAACCCACAATTTTCTAAGCAGGTAGCTGTTTAGTCAGGGGATATTTTATTCTCTGGAGGACATTTGCCCGTATCTGGATATAAGCATGGTGAAAAGAGGGATACCCAGTAGGTAGAGCCAAGGATGCCCAATGTCCCCACAAAAAGAATTATCTAGACCAAAATATCAAAAGTGATGAGGATGAGCAACCTTGGTGTACAGAAAAATCACAACTCTCCGCTCAATATAAATTGGCCATAGTTACTATGGTTTCTGTGTTACATGGGAAATGAAAGCCTTCAGTCATCGTGGTATAACCCCATAAGATGAGTGAAATTCCCCTTTTATGTACTCAAAGCTCTGCTCTAATTTTCAAGTCCTGCAAAGAGCTTCAATCCCCAGTGCAGAAAAAGTAGCTAATTATTTTAGGCCAGTGTGGGATCTGCATTTCAGTTTTCTTTTGGCTTGGAATTTTGAGCTATGCAGCACACCTTGTGTGAATGCCTGGCTTTGCTAACCACTTTCTTCCTGTGCAAAGCAAGTCAGTGCACAGAGCAATATTGTGCGTACTCATCGTACTCACTATACCAACACAGCTCCTAATAAGACTTTGTATTTTTAATTCCTACATTTTCTCAATAGGAAATTATATGCTAAAGCATGAAGCCCTGTTTCTAAACAAAATGGATTATATGCAATAAACACCTTTCAATGTGCCTTTAAAAATCTGTAAAAGCTCTGGAAATACATTCTCGCGTACATGATGTGATTTTTTTTCCCCATAGGTTTTTTTCTAGGTCTCCCTGACTAAAGATACTATTCAGAAGGTAGTATAATTTTACAACATAAAGCTAACGCTGGAGAAATGTTATTGTGAATTTATAATTTATTTTGAAATTTAAAATAGCGAGTTGGGGAAAATGGATTTCCATATAGTCCATTTTAAATTTCCATTGAGCTACATCCTTCCCTTCTATTTATAGCATATGCTGTACGCAGGGGAAATGCAGCTATGCTTCCTGCCTCTGAAGGTTTTAAGAGGCAGTTTTGCATGAAACATAATTGTCTTTGTAGCATTTGATCATGGATATATTTATGAAGAATACAGACACTACACACCTACTCATCTGGTATTAACCATGAATCTCTTCCCAAACATTAGGCCAACAAATATAAAACCTAATTGCAGCGGATTAGTCTACAAGAAAATGCATGAAAAAAACCACTTGTTTATTTGTGCTGATTTCCTTAAAATTTTTTTAGTTAAGAGAATGTAATTGTTCATGTCTGAATTCAGAATATATTATAATATTATAATATTTTTATTTATTATTTTTTATTTTATGTGTGTGAGTGTATTGCCTATATGTGTGTAAGTGCACCCATGTTGTGTAATGCCTGCAGAGGTCAGAAGAAAATGTTGGATCCCCTGGGACTGGAGTTATGGATGGTCGTTAGCTGCCATGTGGGTATTGGAAATCGAACCTGGGTCCTTTGAAAGAGCAGTCAGAGCTCTTAACTGCTGAGCCATCTCTCCAGCCTCACACTATAATATTTTGTAATTTGGCTACTATTTTCCTATGAAAACCATGGAGGCAAGTAGTTGAACTGGGAACACCTGAAACACAAAACTACAAACTGACACAAAATTCTGGTTTCATTCTTTTAAAAAAAAATATGATTATAGTATTTCTATTTTACTTACATGCAATCTCAATGCTTGGTACCTACATCATGAATAAGTAGCAACCATCATTTGATGGTAGAACCTGAGAACCACTTAAGTACTGCTATTGCTTTAAAATGTTCATCTTTTACTAAAGAAACAACCATATTTAAAACATTTAAATCAAAATATCATTACAACCAGAACACCGCAATTCTCATCTCCAGGAATATCACCACACATTTTTGTAAAATGTTTTGAATATTAATCAGGGTAATAATTTTCTGTAAAACTTTGAATTTCGTAGAAAAAGTAGAAAGTTCATTTAGGGTTATAATTAAAAATTTAAGCCAACTGTGGTGGTTAATGCTTACAATCTCGGCATTCAGGAATTAGAAGCAGGAGGATTCCTATGACTTTATTGTCATCCTGGGCTGTAGAGTGAGCCTTTGTCTCAAGAGCAAAACAAAATCAAAAGCTTTAATGCATATAAATATTTATTGATGTAGTAAATACCTTTTTTTTAAAACATTATGAAAATCATATCTTCAAGAATAGCCTGTAATTCCCATAGACTATCACCAATTCTTCTAATGGTAGGATTGAGGTGCTGGTCTGCCAAGCTTTGCTCCCCTTACTTCTATCTCTTCCAATCCTTGTGGGAAAACTCGTAAACGAGAAATTAGCCTTTTTCTTATTCAGTGTTTTTCAGAGCACAATGCTAACAAAAAGAAGAGAATTCCTGAATTTTTAGCACAACTCGTGTAGCAGCTTATTTTCCTGTCTTCTGGGCATTCTTTTGGCTCTGATCAAAGCTACAAGACAGTGAGTGATAACCAGAATTTTAAAAGTCATTTGGGTATTGTGCATGTATACATAATACAATGTTTATGTGCAGAATCTGGTTGTACTTAATACATACACAAATGTCAGAAGATATATAATTAAAGTCAGTTTTGCCATATGCATATTATCCTCAGACAATTTAAAACCTACTCTTGTCTATGTTGAATGGTAGTTACATTTTACTATGTGTGTATTTTGATAATCATATATCTCCTCAAACATTTCTCAGAGAGCCTTTCTGAGTGCATATTTACTCTGTCTACATATATGCAAAACTATAATTAAGCCAATAGCACTTTCAAGTTAATTGACTGACTTAGGACAGATGACTTTCAGGGCTTAATTTTTTTTCATCTGAATAAGAGTCACATTATAGAATTTCTAGCTTTGTATCAATTCTATAATTTTTTTAAATTCAATAAAAATATAGGCTAAGTTATGAACTGAAACTCTCAAGTACATTGTGAATATAAAAGTTAGAGGAGGCTCCACTGAGGAGGCAATGTCTCAAAGTACCTTTGCTTTAGGACTTCTCAGCATACAACAGGAGTCAGGGGCCTAATAGCTGTTGTTTTTGTGTTGTCTTGCTTTACTTTAAAGTAAGGAAATGAAAAGAAGGACAATAAAATGCAGACTTGTAAAAGGCAAGGATATAGTCAACTGGAAGGGATATGGTCAACTGGAAGGGATATAGTCAACCAGAAGGGTCACAGGTGTGGGGGGATGATGGACAGTAAGTGATGAAAGCATTCAGCAAGGACTTGCCACCACAACACACAGCCCATCTGCAAAGCTGGGGTCTACTTACCCCCAGACTGGGTAGTCTGTCCTGGCTCTAGGCTCCAATATTCATATCTTCAACTGCCTGACTCCAGCAGCTGATTGCATTGCCACCACAAAAATAGAAATTATAGCTTTCAACCCTTCATTTTATCCCTCTTACCTATAATCCTCTAGTTCCAGTCTGTCTGACCACTTAACAAAGGATTTTTTTTTCAGTTTGGTTTTACTTAAATAAAAAAAGCAACAACAACTAGTGTAGCTTTGGGGAAACACACAAATATGCTTTATGCATATAATATGCATAAAGAGCTGTAGACAGCCTGGAAATTTTGAAGAGAAAAAAAAGGAAACCTACTGGGAACATAAAATGGCACCCAGAGCACACAATAATGATCCTCATAACTGAGATTGTCATGTGTCTTATTAAACGACCTCATTTACCTGAAGGATTTTCTTTAAAAAAAAAATGGAAAGATGCTTTAGATTTTACGCAAGCATGTTTTTCAAAACTTTACTGAGCTATTTTCATGTGTAAGTTGTTGAGTTAGGTCCTTCAAAGGGCTTCAAGGTTTACTTATATATTTAAAAAGGGTGAAGATGAAAACTATTATTTGAACACAGCATTGCATTCAGTGGCACCAAGATGCTTATTATAAGTGCCCTGATGAGACAGTGGGTGCGGCTCATGCATACCATTCTCCTCCACTGTCTACTTAGGTACTCTGGCATCTGGTTTGCCTAACTGATGGAGCATGCATTTGATGAAAGGACAGTAAACAACATAAATTATAAATCATATGAGACATCTGCTAATGAGAGGAAGAAAGGGGAGGAGAGGAGAGGAGGAGAAAAAGTGAGAGAGAGGGAGGGAGGGAAAGAGAGAGAGGGAGGGAGGGGGGAGGGGAGGGAGAGAGAGAGAGAGAGAGAGAGAGAGAGAGAGAGAGGGAGAGAGGGAAAGAGAGAGAGGGAGGGGGGGGGGAGGGGAGGGAGAGAGAGAGTGAGAGAGAGAGAGAGAGAGAGAGAGAGAGAGAACTGGTATGGAAAGAACAAAGCATTTCCACGGAGCTCAAAGGAGGGACATACCTTAATCACATCCTAATTTTAAAGGAGCCGTGCTCCTTACTCTCCTGGAGACATCCACCTTTCTTCTGTTGCTCCACAAATGCATTGAAGATGTAGATAAAACTGCCTTCATTTCCTTCATGGATCTCTTGATCCTTTACCAGGACCCCTGTAAAAACAAGGCAAGATCCTCTGTTGAACTCAGGCCACACTAAGCAAATTAACTGAAGTTTGTTTTTAGCCTTTATATGGAGATGATTTCCAGTTCAACAATCCAGAGGAATTGCACACCCCTAACATCTTACATTATACCTCTTTGAGGACTACTAATCTGGTACCAGGAGTCTCATTCTCCCATAAATACACCTTGTCTACTAGCAAAAGACCCTTGAAAAGATGAACTAATAATTTTGGCTACCTTTAACCTGCTAATTAACGATGAGGATTAGTTTCCTCTAGAATGTATTTCCCATACATAAAAGCATCTAAAATATTAAGTAATACCTCAGTTATTAATGAAATCTTGTTTTCATTCTGAAATACCTTAAATGTCTTTGTTTTTTATCATCGAATTTCTCTGATGAGACTAGTTGCCTGTTAGGATTATTTTATCTTTATGTCATTCTTCCAGTCTTTGATAATATGTACTCAGATAAGAAATATAGCAATTAAGTAATGTGATTTGTTCATCTTTTAATTGGGATAAAGGCAGACAAAAGATGCGAAATGTGTTTTCTTTCAATATTAAATTAGAGAGTCCTGGTAACTAGAAAACAAAGGGGCAAAATAACAAAAGCAAAGCAAAATATATTATTTTTTATTTCTGCTTGTTGATTTTCTAAGGTTGATCATTATATATTTTCTTCTTTGGAATATATTTCTCTTATCATTTCCAGAGCAGATTGGCTTTCTTGAATACTTCCTGTTTTATACGCTGTCTTCTTTCTGGGACAGTCTGTGCTCACTCAACCTGGGCTGAGGCTCCAGGGTCTAGTTAGGAAGCTGCTTAAGGAGTGAGGACGACCTTGTTGGCTGAAAATGCCAGGAGGGTCTGACCTCTCTACTGTCCTTCACTGCTCCCCAGGCCAGACTGAGGCTCCCAGGTCAGGAGAAGCTGTACAGTCTTTTTTTTCTAGTGGGAAGTGTCCTGTCTTGTCATCTGGCTCAGCCTGTGTCACTGATGGATTCAGAGCACTTAGTTGAGGAATGGTTAGGGAGGACAGTGAGTTAACAAACGTCACGTACACTTCAAGAAATTTTAAAGCAGAGTATTATATGGAAGGTTAAAGAAGTTGAGGCATTTTGAGAAGTAAATAGACTCTCTACCCAGCACTGTGCTGTGGTGACTACATAGTTTTGAACTGATTAATGTCCTGAATACATTAGGGAGTGAGCTGCTTAGCATATTGTACTTTGAAGTTTTTAAAATAGTAAACATTTCACACTTGTTCCTCTTAACAAACAAACCAGCATTTAGGAATGAATGATTTCCTCATAGACTGATACTCAATTTCCTACAACTGGTGACATTCTTTATATTATAGGTAGGAAAAGGGAGAGATGAAATCTAGGTAAGCATGTAGCACGACTGAGCTGGGAAAGAAGTGATGTTTGCAACTGAACTGGTGTTAATTTTTGATAAACATATTAATGTTTTGGGCCCCTTTAGATGGAGTATTTTAGTACCACAAATAGAATACTACTTTTTCTAGCTAATATTAGAAATATCTTTCAATTACTAATATTCTCCTCAAAATGGAAATGATAGTTACATTGTATTCTGAAATAAGAGTTTGTGCAAAATATTGTAGCAATCATAGGGTTTACATAATATTCTCACAATCCTCCAAGGCATCTCTTTACGGATTATGAAATATTTTGTTTCTTTCTCTCTCACTGGTGTTTCTATCGGCCCAAGAAATTGGAGAGTTAGAGATCTTAGAAAAGTACAAAAAAGTGTTCTAGAGGTTTTGTTTTTTAATTTGTTGTAAAACTTTTTCAATTAAAATATCCCCAGTGTGATTTCTTGGTCTGTTACCCCTGACAGCTAGTATTAATTATTTTTCAACCTGTTAATAGTACACTTTCTTTTCTTTTCTTTTTTCTTTTGGTCTTTTTGAGACAGGGTCTCTCTGTAGCCCCAGCTGTCCTGGAACTCACTGTATAGGCTTTCTAAAGCATATTAAGCCAAGTTTCCTCCACCTATTGAATGCATCTGCTGTGTAGAGTAGATGGATATGCAGGAAGAAAGGCACAATGTTTCTCGGTAGATGACCTTTGTCCAGTCCTGGCCTTTGTACCTACGCATTGCTTGGCATGGTGGGGAGGCCATGCAGACATTTCTTACTGTGGAAGTCAAGGTTCTGGGTGCACGAGCTGAAACTTGCATGCTTGGCAAGGCTCGGACGCCAACCTTTGCATCTCTAATAACGTGCTCTCTGCCTCTCCAGTAATGATACCCTGGGGGTGCTGGGAGGAGATTCTTTTCACAGGAAACATACTCATAATAATTTAATACTATCTTTCTGAACCCTTTGATTCAATAAGGTTTTAATTTTAAAAAAATGCCCTCTTATTTTGTAGACCCCCATGACGAGAGCCAAGGTTGATCCTTTATCCAACAGTAGTGTGTAATCAATATCTCTCTACTAAGCTCAAGATTATTTTTCCTTCTTAACCATGTGCTTAAACAAATAAAATATCTTGCCATTGGATGTCTTTTTTAAAGACTGAAAAGACTTTTAGGTTAAATAGCATTTGTTAGGCTTTGATGCAATCAAGTGCAATTTCAATCTTCTGAGAGATTCAGCCCTGCCTTCCAAGACTGCACATATGTGTCAGCTTTCAATTTTTCTCACCAGTGTTTTACACATGCAATCTATTTTCACTGGGAAAATGGAATCTTTGTGTCTTTGTCTGGAAGGGCGCTGTGTTCAGGCGTGTTCTGGCAGGGGCTTTGAGTGTCTAGGCACTGGGGGAGGGGTCTGGCAGTCATTTGTCAGCCGTCTTGCATCTGTAATTTCTCGCCACTCAGCAGTATTAGAGGGTCTTAGAAAGGGTGGAGGAAAGAGCTTGTCATTGATGAAAGCCAAACCTCGAATAACTGCCTCATGTTAATGACCAAAGAGAGAAGGGAGAGTATGAAAAACTTTTATTGTGCTTTAATGAAAAAGATATTTTTTTGAAATGCTTAATTTATTAAATTGCACAGGGTAACATTTTCAGACCTCAGTCTAGAAAGACCCTGTCCATATTGTGTTACCAATTTCACTGTTTTTACCTTGGCAAGGGCTCATGAAAGTATTTTAATTTTCTGCCAGTGGCTTCTGGTTATTTCTGCTCTTAGTCCCTTGTAAGAAAACTGACAGCACAATTACACATCTGCATTTTTAAATTTGGATTTTCTCCCTTTATTTTGCTTTGCTTCTAATATTTCCAGATGTTTTGGGTTCTTCATGATTTTAATGTATGCAAATATTTTCCCTCATACTTTAGAAAGGAAGAGGGAAAGCAAGGGAGGGGAAGAAAGAAAAGGGAGAAGAAGGTAAGAACAAGGGATGGGAGAGAAAGAGGGAGAGCGAGAGACACAGAGACAGAGAGAAACACAGGCTAGAGAAGTTGACCAGATGCTCCTGTATGAAAAGCTTTGTAATGTACCAAAGATCAGATCAGGTCAGTATGATGCCTCTTTATACACAGATTTGCATTAGACTGCATCTTGTCTTTTAGCCCTTCACTGTTCTACTTGATCTTTGCAACTCAGTTGTGTGATTAGCGTTCAGAATTCACACCGTGATCTTCAGATAAACCAGAATATAACTTTGTTATCTCAGGGACTGATAACCAGGACAGAAGCGCTTTGAAATTTTGAACCCATGTCAGCTCAATTAAACAAGGGCCCAATAAGGAGGTGAGAAATAGGTAGCAGGCCAGCACTAGACTGAGAACTATTTGAGACTGATTGCTGCTGGGTGTGGGAGAGCATGACTTACAAACGACCAACGGATGGGCTGACTAGATGCCAGTGGACGCACTTACACTGAAGGACATTTGGGTACAAACATCTGAATGAATAGGACTCAGCATGTATAACAGAGCGCATAGGGTTTGAGGGGGGATAGGAGGGGGCATGGAAGGGGGAGGGGATCTGGATATGAGTGGGAAATGTTGCATGAAATTTTGAAAAGCTCAATAAAGAAATTTAAAAAATTCTCTTTCTTTTATTTCAGTGAGAGATAAGTTGTACGCGATGAGAAGAAACAACGTATTTTAAGCGAGTTTCTGGCTTGGTACAAACATTAGAGGAATGGTCAGTGTCTGCCTTCAAATGTCTGGACAAGCGTTACAAAAGTCTCTTATATTTCAAGAAAACCAGTTTCCCATAATTAACAATGGGAAGATGGTAAACAGACTCTTGTTGACAATGAAATTGAAACAGTATCATATATAGAAACACAGGAAAAGAAACAACGATATTGTGTGTTTGCTCTTGGTTCAGTCCAGAAATACTTCAGCAGTGTGCATTAGCAGAACTCTCCAGAGTGAATTGTTATTCATTTTACATTCCTGCAACCACTTCTCCCCTGCTTAATATCTTCAAGTGATCTCAGGCTACTTTCATATGTGATATTTTGGCAGAAAAATCAATATTTTCTAGAATATAGTCTACTAAGTAAGTAATCATGAAGGAAGATGATATAATTTTATGAGATTTTAAAGGTCAGTTCTTCCTGAACATTTTTGAAAATGAGAATACTTAATAGGATATTTTGATGTATGTAAGGTGTTTGGGGAGAATGGGGAAGTATATTCATGAGTCTCACCTAAATGCTTCATTAATTAGACAGGTAACTGGGCTTGATCACTTCTGTTCAAAACTGTGGGCCCAGTTTTCTGGGAAGTGATGAGTTAAAGATGGAGACTGTTTGATCTCAGTCATGACATTGAAAGCAACAAACTGAGGTGATATGTGGTGTCCCTGTGTCTGCAGTTCAAATTCAGATTTTGCACTTTCAAAAGCAGAATGAACTGCTTAATTTATATTTAGTTTTTAGAATGAATCATTTCATTTGTAAGTGAAAATTTTAAAACCTACAGTGAAGAGTGATTGCCCTAAAATTGTTAACTAGAATACTCTGTTTAATCAAATGTTTGTTTCTGTTTTTGTAG